ATTAACATGTACTGTACACATAATCACTGCCACCCACATTCAATCAAGACACAAGCAACCCGTACGGTGGAGAAGCCTTGCCATGGAATCCGTCATGTCCGCACACTCCCTATCCCATTCTCGAATGCTTTCTAACACTCCCTGGCAACTTCCTAACACACCCTATTTAACGCATGTCTGTAGGCCAACTGCGGATAAGAAATAGTTACATTCTAAATCTCTCAATAGTTCCCCCACTTCCAGATCTTATCAGAGTTTATAGAGATGTAACTACGAGGAGGCAATAGTGTGAGTTGTGGCTATCGGGTATTATAATGCGTGCTTGCGTCCTTGCAAAAAAAAAAAAAACCGGCGAGTTAGGGGGATTCAAGAGAATCAGGGGTGTAGGATCTGTCGGGCACACAGTGGCCAATGTCGGTGGGTTAACCCAGGCAGAAAAAACTCCCGAGTAGGCCGCCAAGACAGGTGTTCTTTCACAAAGTACTCGGGTTACGGGTAGGGTACCGACATTATCACGAGAACGTGCTCGAGTCCCCATTCCACCGGGATGAAGAGAAGGTATGAGTATAGCCGTGCTGAAATATATCTAAGAAGACGAGCTAGGAAGAATATGCTGTCGGTGCCATGGTTCCCAATCCGTAATTCCATCCAAAGCGCGATACCGGTAGTGGTTTGGGGGCTTGTCCATGATACAGGTACCGTTAATTTGTTCCCCCGCTAAACACCGCCTCGTACCTTTACACTCTCAAAATTGACGAGCAAGTTAAGGGAGAAATATTTGGACAAATTCGGTAAGCGTGAGAGAGGCGATAATAGAATACAAGAGGAGCGAACCAGAGAGTAAATTTATTTATTTATAAGCCGGCGCAATCCGCAGCAAAGGAATGACGAGAACTCCATTTCCGTCTATTCCCACTGAGGTTCACTGGCGTGTAACTGTACTCGTACAGTACGGTACGGTATTGTGTACCCCGGTAGAATAACGTAATTACACATCCGATCCCGTTTCAGGCCAGAAAAACTGCATCACTGTCTCAACAGCTCCCTTAGATTAACTTATGGTACCTGTGCCAGCAGTCGTTGAACCCTCACCTCACCACGGTTTGGTTTCTCTTTGGGGAAGAGTATGGTCACGTGAAGCCTCTGCCAAGATTGACCTGCTCTCCTGAGGCGGCGCGGTAGGTAAAGATTGGGCCCTACTACATTACCGTGATTGCGATTCTTCGGATATGTAAGGTTTAGTTCTTGGGATAGAGCGGGTATATTCTTTGCTTCGAGCCTGTTTAGGAAACTCTCCTATATATACGCTGGTGAGATATCCCCTGATTTTTTTTTTAGCTCGGATGGAAGGTGGAGTAATATTCGCCAAGTTATTGATATTTCCTCCGCCAATCTTCAAGGTCGCTCGTTTTCTGATAGTGGATTGAGAGATGCAGTCCACCACTGAGGCTTTCAACTATATGTGGCTTTCCGACCTTTGGGCTGCTTTTAGGACCCTCATATCGTACCAGGACTTGCCCACAGCATGGGGGGTTTGTACGAGTATAGTGGCAATGTTCTTCACTCGTCTGATGTCGTTCTTAAAATGACTTGTGTGCGACTGCATTCCTATGATGTGGTGTGTATGGTAAATTAGCTCCTGTATGGGCTGCCCATGATCCTCAGGGGCTCTCTTGGACCTAATCGGCAGGGATATACAGGAAACATCTCGGTTAATCAGGTTTGGCTTATAATTAAGTTACAACTACCGGTACTGTGCCATCCTTCGGTGGAGCCCGATAACAGAATTCTAGTCCCTGGGTGGCTTTCTCTCCTTTTCTGTACCGTAGGTGCCTCTCTAGTCCCGGAGCTACCTACATCCTAACCCTACACCATGGCATACTAGAGGTACTCGAGTATCATAGACAAACTTCCGCAAGCCACACGATTCCGAAAACCACCCGAGAGTAAAGACGATAACCGTGCTACCAGGAGTTGATCTTATTCGCCCCTCGTTTCCCCACAACCTGCCTCACTTGGGCCACAAAAAACCGACAAACCGAGTGACACTCGGTGCATTCTAGCCCCCGGTTAATCGGCTCGCACCCGACCGGGAGCTTCGCGGCTCTATGGGCTAATGTCACAGGGAGGGAAAAAAAAAAAAAATCCCCGATGACATTCCTCCAACCAATCACGACCCCGAGGTGACATTACAATAATTCCCAACTACCCAGCACACCCCCGGCAGGCGAGAAAAAAATGACCCAGAATCATTCCCCCAGCCCTACAAAAGCCGTTCCAAAAACCATTTCCTCGGTGGCATGATAAGACGATTATACCCACCGTGTCTGCGCTCTCCCTTGGTTTCTGTCGGAATAAAACGATACTCAACTATGGCTCCCGTACCAGTTGCAGAAATTGGGGAGGAATTGAGCGGGAAGTATAGGCCTTATTTGCTTCCTAAGGAGGAGGCGGAGAAGGATTGGATCTCCGAGTTGGAACTTGATACTGTGGAAGGAATTTCAAGGGAGCATTTGCAGAGGGGGGAAAGCCCATTGAAAATTATGGTGCTTTATGGGTCTTTGAGGGAGAGGTTTGTCCTCGCTGATATGGTTGAGTGGGAGGTGGATGGGAAGTGCTGATTGAGTGAAAAGATCGTATTCGAGGTTTATGGCATACGAGGCTTGTCGGATATTGCATCGTTTAGGGGCTGACGTGAGGGTATTTGACCCGAAGGGGCTACCAATGAAGGATGACGTATCAATGGACCACGAAAAAGTTCAGGAGTTACGGGGGTTGAGCGCTTGGAGCGACGGACAAGTGTGGTGTTCGCCCGAGCAGCATGGGACAGTAGTATGCCTCCTAACCCCCTCCGCCCTCTTCCTCCAGCAACAAACTAATGCCCCCCCCTAGGCAGCAGTATTCAAGAACCAGATAGACTGGATACCCCTCACCACTGGCTCTGTCCGCCCAACTCAATCCCGAACCCTCTCCATAATTCAAGTGAATGGCGGCAGTCAATCCTTCAATACAGTAAACTGGCTGCGCATTCTAGGCCGGTGGATGCGCATGTTCACGATACCAAATCAATCGAGCTTGCCAAAAGCGTATACTCAATTTAGCGACGAGGGGAGACTATCAGCGAGCGGAAACCGGGACAGACTGGTGGATTGTATGGAGGAGTTGGTGAAGTATACTTGGGTTATGAGGCCGCATTTTGAGAGTTGGGGAGACAGGTTTAGTGAGCGAAAGGAGAGGAGAGAGAAGGATGAGAAGAAAGCGAGGGAGCAGAGGGAGAGAGAAGAGAGCGAATGGGTGGAGAAGCAGAGGGTGGAGGTGGAAGCAGTTAAGGGGGAGGGGACGGAGATTGTGGTTGCGGTATAGGATTGTATCGTGTCATAGTTTGGGAGTGTTTGGTGTTGGGGCGGTGCTAGGTATCGTAACATCTTCGCTTGTTAGAAAATAGATACCAAATATTACCTGATGCATTGGATGGCAGTATCAGCGCACTCCAGCGTAAGCAGGAGAAATCACGCTTTCAGAGGCTGGAGATTCGTACTGATGAATTGTAGAAGTTGGCCAGAGCAACAGTAGCCCGGAGCCCGGAGTGTATGAAGAGGAGCCCTCGGAGCCCCTTGGTTCTACGGTAGTCCATTATCTCTCCGTACGCCCCGAGATATAACTATGATACTATCCCGTTAAAAAATCTTGGACCCTTAAACGAATGTAATACCGGCGGGGCTACTCCACCGGATAGATAATCGCAGTTAGTTAAACCTCAAAAATCACCGGAGTAAAATCCCACAAACTGGAAAGCTGCAAGCGCACCCCCATAGATGGCTCCAGTAACCGAGTGACAAATGTGATGCCACAAAGAATGTAAGTTAGTATTCCACAACAGCCCTAGCGGCATTAGACTCCTTCCGAGCGGGGCAAGGGTAGCCATTCCCCTGCATTTATTGGTTCCCTGGATAATATTTAGCATACATAATTCTCTTTCAGAAATACTTTAGTGGTTTGACGATGGACAGGGTATTATGCCGTTGATTAATTGAGATCACAGAACATCACTCGTGAAATCTCATGGCTGTCTTTCGGATAGGTGGAGACTAGTACTTAATGTAAGGTTGTGATCGCGGTCCTACGACTGCACCGCTCTCGTAGGAATGGACAGTAGTAGAAACAGTGGCTGGTGGGAGTAGCGCACTGTAGGCAATGCACCATACCCAGCCCATCCTGGTGTTGAGTATTCATACTCGTGATCTAAACTCTGCCCGGTGAACTTATTTAGGTGCGGGCGGATAGGGGCCTTTGGCGGGAGAGAATCCTGGATGGAATACTCTTGCGGGAGAAAAGTCTCGGACGTTCGCGGTTTCCACCATACTGTTTCTGAGAGGGAAAGGATTTACCCGTGTTTTCGAGGACTTTTTTCTGTTCAATCACTTGTGCCTTGGGTATGGGGTTTGTGCGGTACCGTAATGCGGAATACCGTAAAAAAACTTATAACCCACTATCTACGTCATGGCCCGCCATACGATCCTAGGTTTAGTTCGCGGGTTTAACAGAATAGCGAACACCGCTTAACGAGGACCAACACGTCCAAGTGCGCTAATCTTATATGATACCTGGCTGGTAAAGTGCTGATCCCTCTCAGGAGCTTTTAGCTTAAAACCTAGGGATTACAGGGCTAGCAGAAATAGTGGAATATAAGGTTGGTAAAGTATACTGTGTCTACAAATAATACTCACTCCTACCTGGTGCCATCCTCTCACTACCGCTTTACCGGGTCCCTGCTTGGGATTTGGTTCATTATATTCCCCATTTGTTCTTCCAACAAGAATTTCCTTGGGCTCTCCTGACCTAATCTTTGGTTCGGTGCGGGACAAAGAGCACAAATTCCATTGGATCAATAAGGCACAAAATCCCCGCTCATTAGTGACCTCTTACTCCGCCGCCTGACTACTCCTTTCGGGCTAGGATCGCTTCTCTCATAATTCCGTCGGATTCCTAATGCACTCCAAAGTAGTTGAGTTGTTGGAGTCGGCGGGTTTTATAGAATCTCTCCCGGGCCCACTCAAATAGTTTCCGGCTTACGGAGGTCGCCGGTGTTTCTTCTATTCTGGATTTAGTACGTAAGAAAGAGATCTATGGGTGCCATGGATTTCAGTGCGCTCCAGACAAGTACCTTCTTCAGTTACGTTCAACAATCACAGTACGGTCAAATGGGTTCCCGGCTACCGGCCATCAGCTATCCACTTCTGTCGCATGGGTGGGAATGCCAATGCCGAGGTGTTGGCGTTTCTCACACCACACCTTCAATTCCTATATCGCAGAATTGTCAAACGCCTCTAGAGGGCCGGCGCTGCCTCTTAAGTATTTTCTCCATTCGGTCAAGTGGAATCGTGATTCCCATTCGTAGCGATTGGCGTGCCCTCCAGCCTCGGTGCCGCTGCGGATCCTGATTAAAATATACACATCCATGCGGGAGAGTCCTCTGGGATGTAGGGGTCTGATAGGGCTACACTTATGCTGGCAGTACAGCTGTGGTTCATGCCAGCCGTCCCATTCCAATTTTCTCAATTCCCCGGCCAACCCAGCATGTTCAATCCGGAGGGAAACCCCCTCTTGTCGAACCGGGTTTAGGGGAATTCCTGGCCGAAACCTTAGCCTTAGAGTCCACCATTTCGTCGACGTGGGTGCTTCTATAACCTGGGACCTAGCCAATTGTCACTCCCTGAATGCGTTGAGGGGCAGGACCATGACATCCCCTAATCCGGCCGGATACCTGTCCGGGGCCATCCCTTCGATGAGCACAGGGTGAATGACCACCGGGTGCGGGTTTTGGTGTAGATCCGGAGCGTGACGGGTTTGTGTTTCACGTAAAGAGTCGTGCGCAACCGGATCATCAGGATAGCAAAAGAAGGAAATGGTCTTCGACTTGGAATTATTATGGCGAAGTGTGCTCTAGGACCATGTGGTTAGGGTGGTGGAGGAAATGTCCTGGGAAATCAAGTTTTGTGATGATAGTGACGAAGTAGAAGGAAACAGCTTGATAATCAATGTCATTTTTAACGTGTAGGTGGTTTATCTAGTGTAAATTTTAGGAATATAACGAGTGATATTAGATTGCCTAGCGTCAGCGGTGCCATCAATGCGGTGAACTTGTCGGGATGTTTTTTTTTACTTATTTCTATGTGTCCTAGGCCGGCGCGGGCAGAAGATGGCCTCGGATGTAATGGTGGATATTTGTAGATATCTACCGGTATTTGAGTATATCTGCAAGAACCTCTAGGTAGTTGCAGATATCAGCGGAGGTCTTCAGATATCTGCTACGCATTGACAAAATATTCACTAACTGGAGGGCGCATACCGAAACAGTGCCGGCGCCTCCAGGCACCCACCAAGTCTGGAAGCCTTAGGAAAGAGGGGCATACCCAGCCCAGGTCTGTCCCGCTTTGGCCCGGTCTTTTCTGGGTTGTATATTAGTAGGCTGTCTGAAGGCCGGCTTAGTCACTTGCGAACACTGCTCCTACATTCCTTCCTTTCTCACCTACCCTACCATTCTTTTCTCCCCGTTCCCTTCACTATTGTTCCATTATCTTCCCCTTCCTCCGCTTCTATCTTCTATTCTCCTCACTACTTATCCTGTCTTCTCAATAACCCCCTTCTCCCCCCCCACCATCAACTTCGGACCTCTACCTTCTCTCCCATATCTTCTCAGCAAGATAATGAGCTGCCACATTGACCGGAAAATGGAGCCGAATCATTTATCTGGTAAACAGAAGCAATAAAATGAATGACCACTAACTTCCGAGCCATCAGTGAAATTTGCGTGGTTGTAGTGGACGAGTGAGCACCGATATTTCGCACTGCATTAGACAACTTGCGGTCTCTGACCTATCGTACTGGCCTTGGTATAGCAGAAGCATGGTGGACTTGCTAATACTTGTTGGGGAATTGAGGTGGTCTGCAGTGTTCTTAATGTTGAAGTTGATAGAGATAGTGTGTTGTGGTTGATCATGGAAGGCACGGGAAGTGCGCTGGAAGGACAGGGTTGTTTACGGAAGTCATGGGAGTATGTTTCAGTGTTTGGCAGTATGATAGATTTGTCTGAAGGTCAGAAGCGGATTCTATAGATATTGCTTTCCTTTGTTATAACGGATGTGGGTAGAGGAGTTTGGACTTGGGGGGAATGACAGAGATGGGTGTAGTGATCTATGGAGGGATCAGGTTGCTTTGGTGATGTTTTCCTTATACACCTGTCATTACCGATTAGCTAGTGAGAGAGAGCATGGGAGACGAAGTGCTCACCCTTCACAGCTATCCCACCACAGCTAGTCTCTCTAATATTCCGTTCTGTTACCACTGCGCATTCTGAGAGCAGCCTCCATTACAACATTTAATGGGGCAGTTAGTCAGTCCTGTAGGCAGAAAGTGGGCAGGTTGTGATTCGTAGTCCGTTCGGTGGAGGATATGGCGTCGGGCCTTTGGCAGAAACGCGGGAGCGATAGACGTACTACAGTGTTTTAATAACTGAGAATTTACTCAAGTCGCGGGGTTGAAGTCGCGTTTTTTTTTGCTGTCGCACCACCAAAATGGGAGCGACTTCAATCCGGGGACTTGAGTAGGGGATAGGAGATAGATAGCATGTAGGGGGGTAGGTGGGTAACTCGGATTGTATCTTGGCATTTATGCTACGATACCTGAT